GGGAGCATCTGTTTCTCCTCTATCAGTGTTACAAGCTTCCCTGGGCTCACCGACGCTCCCCCCCACACACGCTTTTCCCAATCCCTGCTCCACACCCTTTCTTCTCACTCTTCCACTGTCATGAGTAACTTTCATACGGGTGTTACATATTTGGGGGTCTATGCCCTCCTCCTCTGTCCTGGCAATCTTCGTGTCGACAGTTCTCCACCGTTCCATTTGTTTGCTGCGTGATCGGGGTGCTTACCCCGTCTCTGCATTATCTACATATAAATATAATTTGTAAAAAATAAATCCTTAAAACAAGGATGGAAGATTGCAAAAGTTACTTGAACAGCAAGCAGACCGGAGAACTGGAACTCTTCAAATGTTGCTGAATTATAACTGTTAGCGAACCAATCTAGCAGTGTAAATGGTAAATGCTGAAAGATTTATCTCAGGAACCTCTGAAGGATCACTAATTCTCCATTGCTGCCATAAGACTGCAGTCAGTACATACTCCTTGAGTTATGGCCAATCATTCAATGTCCATTGGAAGTTATGATGGTGCTGAACAAAAGGACTTACAACCCATGCCCTGCAGTGCCCCAACAACCATGCAAACAAAGTTCACACCCACCTCACTTATGACTGCCATGGGACATTTACGACCACAGGGACACTTCAACTCTCCCCACCCACCTATTTCTCCCTCAACTGGCCGCCCTACATAGTGGCACCTGGCATTGGCAGCCGCAAAGCTGCAACTGAAGTAGAGGCTCAGGGCTTTTAGCGGTCAGCATATTTATGCCCTTTATGTTCCAGACTTTCTCCCATTGAGCTACTACCCAGACTAAATTATCCTACTGCCCTTAAGACCACTCAAGTAAAAAGAACAAAATCTGTATCACCACGATGTAAAAAAGATGTTGAGACTCTAGAAAGAGTACAGAGAAGAGCAACAAAGATGATTAGGGGACTGGAGGCTAAAACATATAAGGAACGGTTGCGAGAATTGTGTATGTCTAGTTTAACGAAGAGAAGGACAAGGGGGGACATGATAGCAGTATTCCAATATCTCAGGGGCTGCCATAAAGAAGAGGGAATTAAGCTATGTTCCAAAGCACCTGAAGGCAGGACAAGAAGCAACGGGTGGAAACTAATCAAGGAGAGAAGCAACCTAGAACTAAGGAGAAACTTCCTGACAGTGAGAACAATTAATCAGTGGAACAGATTGCCTCCAGAAGCAGTAAATGATCCAACACTGGAAGTTTTTAAGAAGAGACTGGACAGCCATTTGTCCGAAATGGTGTAGGGTTTCCTGCCCGAGCAGGGGGTTGGACTAGATGACCTCCAAGGTCCCTTCCAACTTTACTACTATTACTATTTTAGTGTATCAACCCTTCCACACATTTTTTGCTTATAAAATGTATACTTGTCTTATGACAGCAAAAAGAATAGCCAATACTATATTTAAGATGAAAATCAAGACTGCTACTAACATTTTAGCACACAATGTCAACCATCCTAGTTTCAGAGATCAGCAGATTAAAGCATGTTGCCTAAACATCTGAGCCTTTTTTCAGCCAGTAAGTTATTAAACATGTTCTATTATATAGCTGTAGAATGAGTAAACAGAGCTATATTTTATATTGCATTAGAATTTAAACATCTTCATTATTACGAGGCTTAACACCTGTGCATCATTCTTTGAAAGAAAATAAAAAGCAATTTAATTGAAGGGCAGATTGAAACTATCCAGTGTCCCTGCCTATTGAGATCGCAATTAAGCCAGGGAGGAGCAACTTGTCCTCTTGAAAGATAATTAATCCTTAGTTCATGGATTAAAATGCACACCCAGAAATTATAAATATAACTATGATTCTAAGTGCCTTTGCTTGCTCCTATAAAAATGCAGTTTCCTAAAGTGCTTTAAATGCAACAATGAGGCAGAGGAGGCAAACAGTTTATAACCTAGTAGTAGTAAATCTACATCAATTACAGAAAGGTAATCAGCCTCCAGAATACTTTTTTTTTTCAGTACAACACCACTATCTATGGCAAATGTGCCATGCAAGCAAAATTATAAAGACAACAATCATCTCTTTAGGTGAAACCATCATGGTGAACATACTTATTTCTTTCTAGTTTACCACTGTTCAGCTGGCCTTCCTCATTGCCCGGGAAAATTGTCTGAAATGGTAATCCATAATTTTGTGTCATGTTTATTTACTTGTTTATCTATCCAGATCTAAACATTATATAAATATGGCCCAGTCCCCATATAACAGCTGAACTGCCCAAATTTAGGAACAAAAAGTGACAATAAATGAAATAAAACAAAACAGGTACATTAAAATTGATAGGAGGAAAAAAATAAAAAAAAACTGTATTTAAAAGCAAAAATCTGAATGAACCTAAGTCTTAAATATGCACCTGTAAACAATGGAATAATAAATAATCCATACATATCAGCAAAGACGTTCCAAACAATAGATGCCACCACCAGGAACCTTCACAAATTTATATGCAATGGAGTAAGTTACTATTTTAGAGATCAAGAAAGTATTGTTCAAAGAATCTTGATTAAGATTCATTAAAAGTAAGTTTTTAAAAACTCCGATTAGAAACAAGGGGATAGAGAGCAATACTAACCAGTCCTGGGAAAAAAACCATATATATAAATGTATGTATGTATGTATGTATGTGTGTGTGTGTGTGTGTGTGTGTGTATATATATATATATATATATATATATATATATATATATATATATACACACACACACACACACACACACACACACACACACACACACACACATAATTGGTTGTTGTGAGCCACCAAGGATCACTGTGTGATGTTAAATGGCTTTATCATTTCAGTAAAAAAAATATTCTGAACTACGTTGCCCACTAACCTCAGCTTTTCCTCCCTCCTGGCATTCATAGACTATTCTGAAATTGTGTAAAAATGAACCTTTTTTTTTTGTCAAGTAAGGATCTTTGCCGCAAAGATCAACAGAAAATGCTCTCCTGAAGAGAACTAATAGCAAAGGGTCTTCTTTGGGCTATGGAATGCACGTTGCAAAGGGGTGTATTTGGCTAACACTCTTCCAGTAATTAGGAAGATGGAAAAACTGCTTCATTTTTGCCAAGCTTTTAATTGTTAATTGTTTTAATTAGCTTTGATTTTGGCTTCGATTTTAACTGTTTCATTTTATTATAGTATTATATTTTATTGTTGCACATTCATTATGTGGAGGGAGGGAGGACCTCCCCCAAAAGATGCTGCTCACCCAAATAAAGCTGCCAACTTGCAAAACTGCAAGATAAAATACACGTGTTTTTTCAAATTTCAAAGCTGGCTTAAATCTAGCATTTCAGCAGGCCAACAGCAAACGCCATTATCAATCCATCAAAAAGGTTAAGTTCACATATTTACTGCAGTCTCAACTTAACAAAATTAAAAGGATACAAATGCATGCACGCATACTTACATATATACATATGTTAAATGACTCTGTAGAATGTCTACTTTGTTAACAGACATACTTTGACAGTCCATAGTAACCACTCATTACATTAAGGGTCAGCCCAAAATAGACTGGAATGCCAAAGGAAGGCAAACAAATAAGCAAAAATAATGGGAAGAAAATCATGCCTAGTCACTGATATACAGTCTAATGATGATTTTCATATAATGGTAAAAGCAATAAAGTAAAAATGACTTCTTAAGAAACAGAAAAGGAAGAGTCTTACTAGAGTTTATTTTCTTTCAAGAACAGAGAATAAGATAAAGACAGTATGTACTGGCCTTCCTTTATGCTTTATGTTTAAAGTAATTTTTTTAAGAATCAAAACAACAAAGAGGAAATCAAGAAATTTACATTTTGTCTGAGATGGCTGCTATTAAAGAAAAATGTTATCTTCTGAATAGTGACAGACTTTTCTATGGACCACTTGGGCAAGAGCACATGTTTCAAAATAAGGCAAAATTAAACAACTGTTTTGCAGTAGATCATCAGCAAAGTAAACGTATGGGAAATTATGAAATATTTTAAACACTGCATCACTACATTTTAAAATATAAGGTTAACCTATTCTTCAGATTCAATACAACTTGGTATGTATTGTATAGACAGCGTGAGGGGTGAACTGGCACACAGATGGTCTTGCATTTTTGTTCATTGCTTCCTTGTCCCTTGCTATACATATACAAGGAAGAAGATGAAGGAGACTAACATTGTGATGTAATGTAGTTGGGCAGAACTGTGCTTTCTGAACATGGTTGGCTGGATGAAGTGTAGGATGCACACCTTAGAACCACATCACTGGAAGTCATAATGGGAAAGAGTGAGAAATGATGCAGTGTTTAAAATATTTCATAATTTCCCGTATGTTTACTTTGCCGATGATCTACTGCAAAACAGTTGTTTAATTTTGCCTTAATCTGGCTTTCCCTATTGACTTGGTTTGCCATAATGTTACCAAATTTCATCACATGACTCCAGGACACTGCAACCATCATAAATATGAGTCATTGCCAAGCCTCTGAATGTTGATCTCATGAGCACAGGGATGCTGCAATGATCGTAAGTGTGAAAAACAGCCACAAATCACTTTTTTCAGTGCCAGTGTAACTTCGAACGGTCACTAAACAAATGGTTGTGAGTCGAGGACTAAATAAGTGTCTGGACAAATCTATTGAGGATGAAGTTGCACTATACTACATGTTAACAGAATGAAAGACAATCAATCTTGCTAATAGCAAAAATTATCAAACTAGCATTTGAAAAAAATCAGAAATAGTTAACATTAAATACAATCAATTTATATAATCTCCTAATTTTAGTAGTACATTATACTGATTTTGTGTCTTCATCTAGATAAGAGAATTTGAACTTATTATTCTGATTGTCAAACAATTTTGTAACCTCATAAAACCTTCATTAAATTAACATTTTTATCTACTTAATAAACAGTGATACTTTTCCACATATTTTATTTTACAAAGAGTATTACCAGTTCTCGGGGCAGAAAGGTTTCTTCCTGGCGAGCAATGACCAGGGAAACTATCTCTCCTTGCTTTGTGCTTCTCAGAGTAGCTACAAGTTCTTCTTGAGTTCTGCCAGTGATATCTCTACCATTCACCTAATAACACCATAAATGAGCAAGTTAGCAAAAATTGTTAACAATATATTGTTAAATTTGCAATAGTGGTGAATATCTGTAGCTCAGGTATAGGATGAGGGTGAAGGTTCGTTCTCCGAGCTTGTGGGTTGGTTTCCGAACATTTTATTATCAGGCTAGGTAACAAACTCCACTGAAGATATTACCTAGCCAGATAACAAAACGTTTGGAAACCAACCCATAAGCTCAGAGAACAAACCTTCATCCTCATGTTGTTAAATATTGAGCAATTTAATCCACATGGTATCAAACTGAGGATTGGGAACCTAAGCCCTCTAAGCCACCCATCTTGCAGATGTTTCAAAGTTTCCTTCCCTACTTTTGCAGTGAGATCTATATCTACAATTTATATATCAGTATATCTACTGATATTCCCTGCAAGAATACCACTTCAAGACCACCCCATTCTCCAACAGAAGAAAGCACAGGATTATTGAAGTAGAGGTTTGCCTATGGTTGCATTGGATGAAACTGAAGTAAAATGCTGAGGAAGATTAAGAATGGAGCATTAATCAGAGAAGACATACTTCAAAATATTTCACATCCAAGCCAGATGTTGTCACAAAGATTAATTTGAATGTTGATTTCTAATTTTGGCTTCTCTCCAACAACCTCATTTTACTTAGGTATGATTTCACTTCATCCAGAATGTCAAATTATCTATTTGCCAAGTAAAATATGGTAAATTGCTACTGAGGAAAGGGTCTTTCCAGCTGAATCATGCTAAGTATACCCAGAGAAACTTGCTTTGTCCTTGCTTTGTGCTTTTTTTCACATTTGAGAAACATATTTAACAAGTATATCCAAAACCTGTTTGAATATTGCTGGGAAGGTTTTCTTTTACAGAACAATTGTATCAGCTTCAATAGATCCAAATAATTAATATCATTTAAAATGGTTGAATCTGGAAAGCCATAAATGGTTGAACCTTAAAATTAGCATATTCAGGAGGAGATTTGCATCTCCTTAGAGATAGGACATCCAAGGAGCATTTATTACTTCTGAATTCCAAATTCCCAATTTTGCTCGGGCAAATTTTAAAAGCAAAAATGGAAAAGTATCATGAATGCAAGCATAGGCTTTGAGTATCCAAGAAACTTGACCTCACCTTCAGATTATTGAAGATAAAAATTATCTAGAGCAATGATAACCTTGTTTAGTAAAAAAATGCAATAAGCAGTTATATTTCCAAAAATATATTTGGCAAAATGCAAATAAATGGGCTATTATAATTATTTTATAATGCATCTGAGCCTATGTTTTACATTAAACAGGTTTGTATTAGTTGAAAAAGCATCACATAATGGCAGAAAAGCTTAGAGCTCTTTGCCCCCACCAAATACTATTTAATTCACTTAATAGAAAGATATGTGCTGAGGAATAATTTCCAACCTCCAATATTCTGTCTCCGGAATGCAAACGGCCATCTTTAACTGCTGCACCTCGAGGCAAAATATTCTTTACAAATATAGGGCCAGGACCGTGTATGGAGGAGTCCCTGGTGACCACCGTAAAACCTAGTCCTTCAGGTCCTAAAGAATAGAAGTATCTGTAAATATGAGGCAACCAGCAGCTAACAGAAGGCTGTTCTCCAAAGCTTTAATATTTAATATTTATATTAATAGGTTTATTTTCAATTAGGTAAGAATAGTAGGATCCATTCCTTGTTTTAGTGCTTAATTAAGACACCCTATTCAGCTTTTCTGTGCAGCCACCAAGTGTGTCTTTCATCAGATTTCTTCAAATTCAACATTAATTATTTGGCATACAGTATGTTTCCCTATTTCCATTCTGTACATTGTTCTTATGTAAAGCATGCAGTAACTCAAAGAATGAACACAAGTTTTAGTGACATACTACATTAGAAAAGGCCAAAAGGACAGAAAAAAATATCTGGAAGCATTTTTTAATTTGTAGAATGAATAGAGATTTCTTTTATCCTATCTTTATTATTTTTATTAAGGGAGTAAATATATCTAATACTCCTTCCTCCTACTAGTTTCCCCACAACTACCTTGCGAGGTGAGTTGAGCAGAGAGAGTGACTGATCCAAAATCACCCACGTGGCTTTCATGCTGAAGGCAAGATTAGAACAAATAGCCTAGTGGTTTGTAACCTGGAGTGTTAAACACTAGACCTAACTGACCAATTTTTTACATTATTATTATTAGAGTGTGCAGTATTCAAGTCCAGATGGGTCAAAAGGCTTCAGCTCTGGCGTGGGCACACTCACTGTATCTATTGTTGACTCCTGAAAGGAGCTTTCCCTTCACTTGGACTTTTATGGGAACCTTGCAGACTCAAAAAAGTGTTTGCTTGAGTCCAGGAGACACTGCAGAAGTGGCAACTACAGGCTGAACATTTCCACAACTGAAATGAGCCTGATGTAGCTACTGTGTAAGCCCAGTGCAACAACAGGTATAACTGCAGTGCCCACACTCTATCTGAAGCACCTTTGCCAGCTGTAGATTGAGTATGACACACTGCTAGTATTATAATCTTGAAATAATTTGTCAGAAGTGCTACCGTAAATGCCGGCGTATAAGACGACTTCTGCGAGCGCTGAAATTGGCGCCAAAGACGGGGGTCGTCTTATACGCCGAGTCGTCTTATACGCCGGAAATACTGGTAGTTTCTGGCGTATAAGACGACGTTCTAGGAATGCGGCCCGGCTATAAAGACGGGGGTCGTCTTATACGCCGGGTCGCCTAATACGCCGGCATATACGGTAGTTTAAAATTAGTAATTTTATTTTTCTGTCTTTATGGATTCTTGAAAATCGGTATGTCAGGAGATTTTATACAAAAGCTTATTGGCTATTTTGTTGTTGCATTAATTACTCCTTAATAAAGCTTTCCAAGAACAAGAACATTAAAACAAGAATGCCCTTCTATATTGTTCACAACCCTAATGGGTCTCTTTGATAACAAATGGCTAAAGAGCAGAATCCTAACTTAGACACAAAGCAGAAAAGGAAGTCTTTCTTTGATAAAAACTTAAGACAGAATTTATTAGGGGAGCTGACCAGAAGCCTAACAGCTCCAGCCTAGAGTTTTGTGGGTAAAATCTTTTAAAACTCATTTGGGGCAGATCATCTGACATATGTTATAGAATACAGCTTGAAATTGTTTTTCATAGTGATCTCTACATGCAGACCTTGCAAGAAGATTTTTACAGTCAACACCTAGTAACAACATATACGTAAGCATACATGTATTCAGACAGAAGGACAGAAAGAGAGGAAAAAGAATGTGACACCTCTCTAAACACTTAGCTGTACTCAGAGTAGGTAAGTCTAGGGTATATTTTTGCAGAATGTGGAATAATTTTATGTGCAAAGGCTTAGAATTTGGAAACTGATGCAATATAAAAGCTTGCTAATTGCTACTTTATGCATTATTTCTTTATTTTTCTTTCTTGGAGTACTTTATGGACAAAAACATTGAAATAAGTAGAAGCTGGGCCTTTCAAGCATGGGTAAACCATTTAGTGTTTAAATAAATAGTCAGCTGTGTGATTTATCCACAGACTACCCTAATCCTCAATGGAACACTTTCAAGTGAGTTTTGAGAAGAAGCAAATTGTTGACCTTTTTAATCTGACAGATGTGTGACTTTGAATTTAACATGCAAATATCTTGTTGCAATAATTCAGTGTTCATCTCCTAATTCTGTTCTGCAGTATGATTTCAGGAAACACTGGTTCACTTTAGAAATTGAACATTCCATAAGAAGCCTTCTTAAATCTTAACAACCCGTGTTGTACCATGGAATACTGAAAATTATTCAACCAAATCTTATCAGTACAATGGTATCAAGTTATTGTTTCATGTTATTATAATATTCCAGCAGATATGTTTGCTGACTGAAAATAAAAGTAACTTTAAAAGTAAAGGAAGTCCAACTGGAAAGATTTTTAAATGCAATGTCTGCTGTATACTGTCACCGTACCTGTTTTTTAAGTACCTCTGGATACATGGAAGCTGTTATTTGCCAGCTGCCTCCCCTGCATAAACACTCACCTATTTCTGTTTCCAGATAGCATGTCAGCTGCTTTTGCAACAAATGAGTCAAATGTATACATCCATATCAACCATATGTAAAAAATCATATTTGGAAAGCAGCAACTTTTAACCATTACCTTTTTTCAGATCAATCCTTATTTTCTTTGCATTTTTCTTGCTGCCAAAACCTATCAATGGGGATAAAGATGGCGATGGAGGTTTCTTATTAATTCTTGAGAAGTTAGGACTCTTGGGAGATGTATGTGTACCAGTCTCTAGATTGTTTGCTTCAGAGAAATCTGGGTCTTTCATCATCATCGACTTTGGAAGGGCTGCAGGTGGAAATTTTCCTTTTGAAATATGCTCAGCTTTATTTGGGGAGTACAATGGTGCTATGACTGACTTTTCATAGTGTTCACGGCCATACAAAGGGACAACTTCCAGAATGATGTTTTGAGATTTCATTGCTTGGCGGAAAAGATCTTGTGCTCTTGGGGAAAAAAAACATAAAATAGTCTGAGCAATTAAACAATGTAACTGCTTATTAATTAATTTATTAAACTTACACGCTGTTTATCTTATCTATATATGTGATTCTAGGTAGTTTACAACCAATAAAACATCAATATAAACTATTAAAACAATAAATAGTAACACTAAAACTGGTTAAAAATTGACAAAGAGGGAAGAGAACAGGATGCAAACAGAGAGAAGGTGGAGTATTATGTTAGTCCGTTAACATGTCCATTCCTCCAGCACAGAGAAGGATGTTCCCTCCCTGCTAAAAGGGAAAGGAAATTCCCTTGGCCAGCTGTGGAAACAGACCTCAATCCAACCTCCCATCTATTGCCAGTATCCCATTAAATTTCTGGGGAAACCAGGAGGGGCATAATGCGTTCCAATAACCGAAAATGCTTTATGAGAATAAAGGATCCATTCTGAGGCTGCTGTGACTGTGAGTTGCTGTTAAATGACCAGTTGTAAGAAGATGACTACCTGCATATATGGAATTCACTAATTAATCAGTAAAGAAAATTCACTTTATGGGGCTTATTATGTTATTTATAGGGGGCACAACGGCTCAGTGGTTAAAAACACTGAGCTTGTCAACTGGAAAGCTGACATCCCGGGTTCGAGACCTGAGCACCATGTGATGGGGTGAGCTCCTGTTACTTGCTCTAGCTCCTGCCAACCTAGCAGTTCAAAACCATGCAAATGCGAGTAGATAAATAGGTGCCACTTCAGTGGAAAAGTAATAAGATTCCATGTGCTTCGGCATATAGTCACGCTGATCATATGAACAAGGAAATGTCTTCGGACAATGCTGGGCTCCCTCAACTAAGAAACGGAGGTGAGAATCACCCCCTATAGTCAGACTTAACTGGACAGGGGAAACCTTTACCTTTATATGTTATTTATAAAATATCTCTTTTAAGATTGCTTTGACTATGTATATTTTGATAAATAATTGTACCACATATAATCAAATTTCAACAGACACATGTTAGGCAAAAATTTGTCTAAAACTCCTACTAAGATAACTGCATATGAAAAATGAACAGACATCCTGTGAACTTTGGGAATAATAAAACAGTCTAGTTTTAAAAGAAATGTAAGTAATGTGGATATTTCTGGAACAAAAAAATGGAAAGCTTCCTTAAAAATAAATATCTAATTTTCATGAAATAAAACTCAGTTTGTTAACTGAGTTCTTTATGTTTTAAAAAAGATGGATTAATGATGTTTATGATTTTTTATTAAGAACAATCTTTGAAATTTTTAGATTGATTACTAAGGAAATATTACAAAATACTAGTAAAATGTTCAGATTAAGAAAAAAAGTTTTGAAATAATAGAAGCAATTAAAAGAGCTAAAACAAGCAAAACTCCAGGACCAGATGCCTACCAAGCAGAGTCTATAAAATTTTCAAATCAATTATTTCTTCCAATGAAGGACTTAATGAATTCTATTTTAAGGGGAGCCCTATACCAGACACTTGGAAGGATGCCTAAATTTCTTTAACACTCAAAGATGGACTGGATTTAACTGTAGTTCTTCTGTGAAGAACTACAGGCCAATTTCTCTCCTAAATAACGACTGCAAACTCTTTGCATCTTAGCTGAAAGACTTTAAAAGGTTTTACAGGATTATATACATGAAGACCACTGTGGTTTCTTACCTAAAAGATAACTAAAAGATAATATAAGAGTAATTTTGAATATAACTGAATATTTACAACAATGTAGAGACAAACAGATTACGTTAGTCTTTCTGGATGCAGAAAAGTAGTGGAAAAGATGGATTTTGGATTTGGTTTTATACAGGTTCTGAAGTCCATCTATACACTCCAGAAAGCTCGATTCATGGCTAATGGAGACTTTACAAAACCATGTGAAATCCAGAAGGGAACAAGACAAGGGTGTTCTTTATCCTCTATTATTTATTCTGGTGTTGGAATAGTTAAATAGAGATGTTAGACAGGATAATAGAATAAAAGGACTACAAATTAAAGTGCATAATTCCAAATTATCTGCATTTGCCAACAATTTGGTATTGATTGTGCAACACCCCTAGAGAACATTGAACATGTTAAAAGGAAGATTAAAATGTTTGGAAAAATGGTGGATTTAAGAATAAATAAATAAATCAAAGACGATAATACTAAGAACATAAAGGTGGAAGATCAGAAGAAATTGGAATTTAAAACTTTTTAAAGTTGTAAAAAAGGTACAGTACTTGGGAATAACTCTCACAGAGGAAAATTCTAAGCTTTACAAAAATAATTACAGTAAAATATGGAAGAAAATAAAATTGGATTTAAATAGATGGCAAAGATTAGATTTGTCATTAATGGGAAGTATTTCAGTAATTCAAATGAATGTATTAACTAGAATGTTATTTTTCTTTCAGACTATACCGATATTGATTAGTTTCCACTTTCAAACATGGCAGAAAGATATATTTTATGATGCTTGTTGTCTGCTATGGTTAAAAGACTGAATAACTTTAAAAAGTTAAAACTGTTAGACCTCAAATATTTTGATTTGAAATTTGGGTAGCATGCTTATCTGTGGTGTGACAAAGTAAAAGTTAACTCTTTTTTTAGATTCATGCATTCATTAGGCAATCAATTGCATGTGTATAAGTATAAAAGAAGATTAGCTGATAAAGTGACACTTTGGCTATCACCTCATGAAGCCTACATATAACAGAGATGATTTCAAACTATAAATGGATGACATATCAAGACATTGATATTTGAAAAAGAGGGATTTAAGATAGAAAGAAGAGAACAACTAGGAAGTGAAGGATTTGCTTGTGATTGGTTTAATTATTATAGAATTTTTGAAAGATTTAAATTTGATTTAAAAAAGTATTGTTTTCACAGGAAGTAAATCTGAATTGGACATTAATCTATGTTCTGGAGATGACTACTTGATTTCTAAAATATATAAAATGTTTCTTAAAATGAACCTAGAAGCCGAATATGTTAGAATGTATGGTAAAATGGGCAGAAAAATTGGGTATAGTATAATGCTAGATAAATGGGAGACTGTATGGACGAATGGACTAAAATTTACATTAAATTATAGTTTGAAAGAAAATTTTTACAAAATGATGTATCACTGGTACTTGCCCCAGATAGAGTAGCAAAAATGCATAAAGGGATTTCTAATAAGTCCTGGAAATGTAATCAAAATTCAGGTTCATTTTATCATATGTGGTGCTCTTGCAAATATATGAAAACATACTGGATAAACATAACACTGACAATGCAGAAAATATTTAAGATACAAATATTAATGAAACTGAAGCTTTTCTTTGAGGTATGATGGACAAGCCAATTGAAAAACAATTTGGGGTCACCTTCACATGATGACGGCTGCAAGGATTGCACTTACCAAACATTAGAAAGAAAAAGGGATGCAGACTGTTGAAGAATGGATTTTGAAATTGACTGAACTAGCAGAGATGGCGAAATTAACTGCTTTGATTAGAGATAATGGGCTAAAAGCTGTATAAGAGACTGGAAACTGTTTGTAGTCTTTCTATGCGCTAAATATAACAGATGGTTAACAGAGGGATTATTAGATTAGTGTAATGTTTAGCTCAACCTGTTGACTACTTTTTCTTCTTTCTGCGTGTATATATACACACACATACACACATATATATACATACACACACACACACACACACACACATTTGTAAAAGGGAAGGAGAATTTACTGCTTTTTCTTTTAGCGCCCAGCCAGGGTGGATCTTACATGTTAAATGTTAAATTTAATTGAACACTTTCTCCTCTTTTTTTGTACACTATTTTTTTCTTTTTTTGTTGTTGTTAGGGTTGAACGTATGCTTTGTTTCGTTTCATTTTTTTGTTTGTTTTACTATTTTGTATTTTATTCTCTGTGATAAAACAATAACAACAACAATAACAACAATAATAAAAGATTTGAGAATATAGCAACAGGAAACAAGCATGAAAGCCAAATGGGTGACTCTGGGCCAGTCAATCTCTCTCAGCCCAACTCACTTCACAGGGTTGTTGTGGGAAAAATAGGACCAGAAAGATAGGTTGGTTATGTTATGAGTCATTTATAAAAATAATAAAGGTGGATACAAATAAATAAAAAAATACTTTTGTTCCAGACATCTATGCTAGAAAAATATGAGTGCTATACACTATAAAGAGGAAAAAAAGAAATTTAAATTATTTTGTTCAATTGTTTAAATTTTGAAACTTTGGATTGATCTGAAGTGAAAAAATGAAGAAAAATGAAGAAAAACTCACTGTGCAAAGGTTTTATCTGCAAGTTCAATATTGTTAATTTTCACAATGCATTCATTTTCATAGAAAAGTCCATCCCGCTTAGACCGGCTATTTTCCTCAATGCCACGGATGAAGAGTCCTAAAATCCTGGAGGAAATGTAAAATACATTTAAGTGAAGTTTAAATCATCTGTACCCGGTTGTGATTCAAAATTTACTTCTGTGCTCCATGAAAAGAGAGATCATTTTCACAGATTTCCCTTTTCCCCTTGAGTCCGTTGAGTGTTTACTTAATTCATTGCACCTGTGCAAAATAAATCAATAGTAATTTCTTCCTGCTTTGTGCAGAATCTCTATACTGTATACAGATGTTGGAGAGCTACAAGAATCCACTTTGTCTTAGATGCCAGTGTTGGGGCAGAATATTATGTTTGTCCTGGCTTGGATAATTTTTCACTTGTTGATTTTGAAGATCTGGAGAAGTGTGAAGTTTCTTCCTATTGGCTGGCTCTCTCTCTCTCTCTCTCTCTCTCTCTCTCTCTCTCTCTCTCTCTCTCTCTCTCTCATTACTACTTCATTATAGGATGTGAATTCCCTTTCTGTCTTTACACTGTATTTGCTTGAAAAGCCTAATTATTGGTCAGTCTCAAAAGAATTGTTTCTGGCTAAAGTGATGGAGATAGGAATGGCCTCACAACTCCAGATTTAGCTGAATGACACTGTATCTGGGCCTACTTCAGTTGGGATTTTGGCTGGGATATGGAATCAAGATTACTTAGATTCAGAGATGTAAGGTCTCAAAAAAAATTTTCCCAGGATTTATTTTTAATTTGTTATTCTATAGAAAAGCCTGGAAAAGAAGTTAAAAGACTAAATATTTCTTATTATCTTATTTTAAATGATACTTTAAAAAGATAGAAATGGACCTAAGTTTGGAACTGCTCATACCATACCAAATCAATAAAATAATCCTAATATCTGATCCAGAAATACAGGAAAACCTTTCAATATTCAAAAGGCCAAAATGTTCAGAAAAAAAAAATAGTGATGCATTCAGAAGTGGAATGCAATTTAATATGATAAAGACAAAATTCAAGATTTAATGCCTACCATCATTTTCTTCAAAAATAATCTCCATCTGTAGCAAAGATTTATAAGAATTTATAATAATAATTGTCTGAATAATCATTTTAATTTCATACTCATCACATCTTTGTATACATTTATAGAATAGCCATGATGTATACATCTATATGTATACATACACACATATAGAGATATACATATCTGTGTCCGTATTCATGTGTATGTGTGTGTGTATTTAAAGTAGCATAATGCTATATAGCTATAACAGGTATTAAAATTATTTCTCCCTTCCTGAGTGGGCAGTTTTAAGTATATGTCAAGACAGAGATGCTGAATCCATGCCTCAGGGCTCAATCTTTTCTATCACTCTGTTTCATAATTGTTGTACATGAAGTTCCTAGGGGAGATTGTCTGATGGGGCTGGGTTTGGCATCAAAAATATTTGCTGGTAATATTCAGTTATGTATCTCCACTCTAGGATATATAGGAGTTGTGGTGAAAATCTTGACCCACTATCTCAAATTGTAAAGATCTGGATGGGAAGAAGCAGGTTGAGATTCAACCCCAACAAGATGGAGTGGCTGTGGGTTCAGGCTGTTGGCTGTTGGGAAAATTCCATTATCAGGTCTGGACAGAGGTATGATTTCTAAGGGAAAAAAATTGGTGTTTTATCATGAGATGTTCCTGAATTCATTTCTGCTAGAGCAGATAGAAGCTGTGGTGAGAAAAGCTATTGTTGATTGACTATAGTCACTCAACATTCTTCATCTCATGGATGAATTACTGTACAGTAGTGTACTCTACATCTTAAAACTGAAGCAAATAAAAAATGCAGGGGTCCACCTGTTAACAGGTACAATGCAGTAATAATATGGTAGGGAGGCACACTGATTGTTCATTTGTTTCCAGGTGTACTTCAGGGTCATGGTGATCATTTTTAAAGTCCTATATTGTTGGAATCTGGCAATCTCCAAGATTGCTTGCTCCACATAGAATCTCCCCACCCAAGGTTTACCTGCATAGTATGACAAGAAGAGCACAGAGGGCATATTAGCAAATGTGTATTATTTTAGGAAAAAAATGAAGAAATTAGGGATCTTTAATACAAACCACTTAATAGCTAGAGGAGGTACAAAGAAATATTTGTTTTAATATCTATCTGTGATGCTGAAAGGCTGTGATGTTACTTTAAATTGTTTGAAAAACTTTCCTTTTTCTCTCAGAAATTTCCTGTATTAGATAAAAGCTTTAATTAAAAACTATGTTTCCCTCCATCACTTGTAAATACATTTGTAAGTATTCAGGAAAAGATATAGAGGATCACTAAAAGAATCTGGATGAAACAAGCAAATGGTCTTCTTTATGTATGCCTAAATTACTTCCATATGCATATAATATTCCTATTGATTTTCTCTTCCAGTTCCAGAATTTTTGAGTTTATCAGTCCAGCTAACCTTCATGAAAACATTTTGAAATGCAGGGCTATTTCAACAGGCCCAAGCAGTAAAGTTGTTATGCAGAAAGTAACATCCAGCCTATATTAGATGGTTAGCATAATGAGTGAAAATCCAGATTTACAACATTGAAAGTTTTCTGAATGCAGTTATGAAGCACAAGTTCAGTTATATATGTGGTAATTATTTTCCTCAAAACTAAGCTGCACCTGTTTCTGGAAGATGGAGATCCAGCCCAGCAGTGCTAATACTAATTTACATGAGACAACTGACTTTAGTAGTATCATGCTAATGATACTCATCGCTATTTAGGCCATGACTCAACTACATGTTTTTATATGCTCTGATTTCTTACATTTTGGAATTACAGTTACTTGTGTGCCTACATATTTGTTTGCTTTCTGGATTGTCTATAGATAGCCTTTAAATTTTTATCGGAAATATTAAAATACCTCGCATGAAATAGAAATATTAACCATTAAAATGTTGGCTGTATCGTTGTTATAATGGAAAGGATGCTTTTATTAAAATTTTGTTGTACTCTCTATGCTAAATTTGGGTTCAAAATTATTGAGGAAATTTTGAAAACAATAGCAGTTTTCTGGGTTTTATCAAATGATCCAAATAGTTAAATTAAAAACCAAGGCTAAGACTTTTTTAACTACATGTTATTGACAAAGTTGTAGGATATACTGGGAAATTTATTTCAGGAAAAGGCAATGACAAACTACTGCTGTTCTATTGTCAAGAAACTATACGAATGTGTCACTAGGAATCTGTATCATTCTTTACAGAGGAAGTTCATCAGATCAATCCACGTTAGTCTAGGTGACAGAGACTATCATTTGGCCTTTTGGATTCTGCATAGTAACTCTCCAGTCTGGTATGTCAGTACATTTTATAAAGGGATTAAAAGCCACAATCTGCTTTCTCAGTCCTTGCCCTTCCAAGCTGATTAAACTGTTCAAACAGGACTGGCCCTAATGTTAAGGGGATCATGTTTGTTGGCTTAGGAGGAAGAGGATGTGTCCCTCCATAAGAAAGAGACAAAAAAGAGAAAATCTATCCATAATCCAAGGGATCTGAACAACTATAAACCAGTCTCAAATGTACATCTCCTGGAAAGCAAATCAAAATATCTTTGGCCATGTAATCCTGTTGCGTGTGAATTTAGTGATTATCTTGATTTATTTAAATTACTTCTTTAGCTATACTCACCTTGGTAGATGATCTATGCTGAAAAGTGCAGAATATAATCCTGCTAGTTTTGATTCTGTCTTTTATCATTGGTTATATGAAGTAGATGGTATTGGAGGTCTATTTGACATACTTCACTAGAACAATTCTCCAGCAAGTATTTTGCTATCCCAATGAACAACCTATAAACCTGCAAATCAAGTCAAGTACTCTTTCTTAGGCTCTTTCAATATAAGAGAGGAAACCTGTCTCTTTTGAGAAGTTGAACCATCCTCCACCTACAGATGGTTTAGGGAATGAATATTAGCCTTCTTATTAAGGTGAAATCAGCAGTCATACTCACAATTCAACATCTGGATCACAGATCTTTAAAGGTGTCTCTCTTTGGTCAGGCTTTTAATTATGAATTGGTTTTAACATTAATTTTAACTCAGGCTTCCAGGGTTATAAAATGGAACCTTCACTATTCAACAGAATAAAAAGATTATGATTTTCAATATGTACATTGTTCTAAGTATATATTGGTGCTGATATCTGGAAAAAAATCTGATGACATTTTCCACTGTTTTGCTTCTCCATAATGAAAATATCTTACCTTCCACTTAATGATGAAAAGTATGGTACCACATGTATCCCCAGTGGGCCTCCTTCCCCAGGTATCTCTACGATTCTCGTCACACCACTAAGAAAAAGGGAAAAGCATCAATTATCTTCAAAAGAAAGCTAGACAAGCAGAGAGATTATTCTGAGCTCATAACAGACACTTATTGTACCTCAAAATATTTTACCAATCCCTGAAATAAATGATCATTCTTAACAACTTGCAATTCCATATGACCATTCCTTTAATAGCCAGATCATAAACTTTGTTTTACTCTATGAGGTAGATTACACAATCTTTTCAATATATTGGTAATTGCTAAATATGCCTATGAAAGCCAGTTTGGTACAGTGGTTAAGGCATCTACACTAAAAATTGGGAGTCCGTGAGTTCTAGTCCTACCTTAGGCACAAAGCCAACTGGATGACTTTGGGCCACTCACTTTACCTCAGCCCTAAGAAGGAAGCATCAATGGCAAACCACTTTGAAAAATCTTGCCAAGAAAACTGCAGGGTCTAGACCAAGCAATCACTAGAATCAAAGCCTCACTGACTTGAAGAAAAAAACACAAAGCCTATGCACAACAAAACTGGATATCTACACATGGACATAATTAATGTTCAAATTGTCCACATGAATCAAATTTGATTAAAAAAACATAATGATATATGCTACAGGTACAAAATGTGCTGCATAAATTAGACCCTATTTACCTATACACATTTTCTTTTTAGATCTATTAAATTCTTAGATCTATTAGGAATACAACAGTGGAGAGAGGTAATTTTTTTCTGTTTAACCATCCTTTTTGTTGTGCATCCTAAATTCAGGGATGTCTTCTTTAATGCAGAATTTTTTATGCTCTATAATAGTAGCAAAAAGAATAATCCTTAGGAAATGGAAAATACCATAACTCCAAGGATAAATGGCTGGATTTCAGAGATATGTGATTTAGTAATTTTGGAGAAAATTATATATTTAGTTAATCAAAAAATGTCATATTATCTCTACCTTTGGGAAAAAAATTTGAACAAGCTTGGTCAACATTAAAAGCTTAATTTTTCTTTTTAAAGATTTACAAAATCAGGTGAGCTTGGAATATAGTTGCCTTTTTGTTTCAATGTTCTTTTTATGTATTTTCTTTTGTACAGTTCTTATTTCCTTTTGTTTTTTTGTATGGTAAATTGTTTATTTTTGCTTTACATTATTTTATATATGTATGAAGATGGAATAATAAAAATATTTGTGTCAACTCTACAAATGAGCATGGCTGTAGCCATTTTCCTTCTCATTCTAGGTTGCCGCATAGAACGGCGGGAGGGGGGTTGCCCAGGTGTTTTGCTAGTCAAAATAATCTTTTGTCCCATGGGAACCAAGGTCATCGGCTGCTCCTGAGACTTGAAACTGGGTGTTTCATAAAAAGCCCACCAAATAATCATATTGGGGAACGTAGTTGCTTACATAGCTTTTGTGGGTAGGACATTTAACTTTGTATTGGGGAATTGTTGTTTCTGTATCCAGACTTGGTTTCACTTTTGACCGTGCAGATATTTCGTAACTAATACACATGTTTTGAGGAATTTACAAGCCTCGGAGTTCTGCTTTATTTGTCTCTGTCTGTTGGAACCATGACAATTTGTTTTTGTTAAATAAACTGAGAACTAAATTTTGATCAATTCTAGAGGAGGAGGAGGAGGAGGAGGAGGAGGAGGAGGAAATGAAAAGGGGTAGTACTTTACATTATGTCCAATAAGACATAACTACAGAACCATGGACTCCTGCTTCACTTGTTTAATCCTTCACAGACAGATAGAAAACACACAAAGAATCCATTATCTGTTCAACATCTTTATATATTAATGTAAAAAACAAATTGTGGTTCATTTCTTTATTTTTAATGTCTGGGTAGCCTATTTTAGAGGCTATATCTACGAAGGTAGATCTATACAAATAGTCCTCAGTTTATCGCCACTCGTTCAGTAACTTTCAAAGGCTGGTCCTCGAAGTTAAGGCCATTGAAGATTCCCTGTGGCCATGTGATTGCGATTCAAGCACTTAGCAACCAGTTTGCAATTGCACGGGGCGCAGCATAACATGAAGGCCATTTGCAAGCTTCCCTGCCAACTTCACACAAACAAAGTCATGGGAAGCTGGCAGGAAGTAGCAAGTCACCCCTGCTGTTTTTTCACACATCTACCCATACTCTGTAGCACCCCTTTATGCCGCCACCACTACCACCTCACCAGCTTGTGACTCTCTCCCACCAGCCTTCTTTCCTGGAATTCATACCCCTTCCAAAGACATGGCCAGGGGAGATCCTCACTTAATGACCCATGCAGCCCAGGGATTATGGTGGCAACTAAGATTGCTATCACTACATGAGGTGCTCATATAATATCACCCTTTACAACCACATCACTTAGCAAAGGAAATTCACATCTCAACTGTCATTAGAAACCCGAGGACTTTTGGGATGTATTAAAACACAACTTCATAAACTGGCTCAAGGATGACTTGCTTCAACAACAACAACAAAAAAAAAATCACAAAGGAAAGAGAGAATGAGAGCATTACGTTTAGATTTGTGCCTGTACGTTCATACAATTGCTAGTTTGATTTTAGAGAAAAAATAACCTGCTGAGGAAAAACAAATAATTCTGAGAAAGATAAGCAATGAACCTTCTGTATTGGAAATTGTCAATAACTGCTACATTATAAAATATATTGCAAAGTTCAAACTTATTTCTACATATTTAATAACATGTATACTTTGGTATGGACTACATTGCTAATTGCACAGGATAGTACAATTTTCAGTATTATGTATCTGAATTTACATTTTCTATACATCCTGTGTAATTTGAGAAACACAAATTTGTCCAATTGTATAATTCTTCTCTTGATTTGTTTGAAATGTTTATTTGCAACCATAGGATTTACCATAGCAAAATCATTCTTCTGAAAAATAATGTATTTTAATAAAAATGTTTCAAAACTGTATTCAACATGGACTTCATGTTTTCAAAATCCATTATCCTTGTAGGTAATTTCTAAGTAATGATTAGCGGTTAAATTCATGACTGTCCCTTTTATGTTTCAAAACATGCAACTATAATTTCTTAGATATTACAGATAAAGTGATGAAAGATTATTCTAATTATCCTAAGTTATTATCCTGTAAACAAAGTAATGACCTGTATAAACACTGTCTCTGGGTTTATTTTTTTATACTGTATATTCCGGCGTATAAGACGACTGGGCGTATAAGACGACCCCCAACTTTTCCAGTTAAAATATAGAGTTTGGTCTATACTCGCCGTATAAGACTACCCCTCTTTCAACGCACACCAAATAAAAATTAAAAAACATCAGATTTGATTTCAATATGGTAATTTTAATTCAAATGCTTATGACATAAAGGTACTTAGCAGGAAAACTGTCACTTATAAACATAAGGCTGTTTGTCATCAAACATGTAAACATAAAACAGTGCAAGTGATTAAACTTTTCCTAATTCACTCTAAAGCTGAAAGGAAGGATAAGACAATAAACCCATGGGAGCTGCCATGCTATTTGTTTTCTAAGCTGTCAACCAAACTGGAACTGATGGTGATAGGAGGAAGATAACAAACAATAGAGAGAGCAAGTGCCGGGCAAGTCCCTGGCGAGTCAGCAACGCCCATCATAACTGCAAGCTATTTTTATAGGTTTTGCTGGCATAATACTTTCCCTTTAAAAGCCTTTAAAATCATCCTGTTCATCATCTGATATCATAAAAATATCAATGACATCTTGTGATACATTTGCAAGGCAGTCATCGTATGGATCGAATTCCGTATCAGATGGTGTGGTCTCAGCTTCGGCTTCCTCTTCATCTTGCCACAAGTAGTCGTCCTCCATACCATCTAATGAATTTGATATGCCACACTTCTTGAAAGACTTGATTATTGTTTCTGCATCAATATCATTCCAGGCTTTTATGACAAACTTGCACAAAACATCCAATTGTGGAGCACGCATGTTTCCTCCTTTTGTGAATGACTTTTCGCCACTAACCATCCATTCATTCCACTGTTCTCGAATGCGATCTTTAAATGGCTTGTTTAGGCATACATCCAGTGGCTGTACTAACGATGTTAATCCTGCAGGAATAACTGCCGCATCTGTGTTTAGTCTTGCAAGCTTTTGCTTGGTGCTGGGAGTTAAATGAGCCCTGAACATATCCCACACCAGTAGACTACGTTTTTGAATAAGTCCACCTGGTCGCCTGCTCCGTACATTATCAAGCCATAGCTTTACCCCTTCTTCATCCATCCAGCCTTTTTCATTCACATGTACAAAACAACCAACAGGGAACTTGAGTTTTGGCATTGTTTTTCTTTTAAAAATAATCATTGGTCTCAGTTTGGCACCATCAGCTGTGCATGCTAGTACCACTGTAAAACTGGACTTCTCATGTCCTGTTGTTTTAATTAAAATTGTTTTTTCACCTTTTTGATGGACAGTTTTATTTCCAACCATATCAAAATTCATTGGAGTTTCATCCATATTTCCAATACTACTTAATGCATAGCCATGTTTAATGCGCTGTTGTATTATGTATTGATGGAAACTAATTACTTTGCTATCAAGATCTGCAGGTAATTTTTGTGCAATTTTCGTCTTTTGCCTCAGTACCATATTATGCCTTTCCAAGAATCTAGTACACCAGGATGCAGTGGCCTTAAATCTGTTGCTGTGATCTGGGTTAGATTTGGCCCACTGAAGTGCAAACAAACGTATTTTATTTCGTGTCACTACATAACCGTTTTGGCGATGCTCATTCACCATGTCTGCTACATGTTTTTCAAGTTCTGGCCAATGTGGGGTGCCTCTTCTTAATGCACACTTACCCCTTAGCATACTCTTTAATGCTTTTTCATTTGCTTTCTAGTCCCGAACCATCTTTTCTGTTACTCCATATTGTCTTGCAGCAGCGCAGTTATTATGTTCCATGGCAAAGTTTACAACTTTAAGTTTGAAACTGGCTTCATATTTCTTTCTTCTTGCTGGTGGAGCCATGATGGGGTCTTGACTATTGG